ATTCATGAGACCTTTAAGTTAATATCAAGAAATTGGGGCTGATCCCTCATATAAGTGGCCACGATGGGCCAAAGTCTTTCATCTATAACTTTTTAATGACCAATATTTTGTTTCAAATTACTGAAACAAAATTGTTCGTCTAAATTATCAATTATGTCATTATATTTGAATGAAAATCTCAGTCAAATTCTTATCTCATCTTATCGAAAATCAGACGGAAGATCCACTCTTTGCTCGCAACGAGATTGCGTATAGTTATTATTATTGTTATCATTATTATCATTATCATCATCATTATCATCATTATTACTATTATCATCTTTAATTTGGAGCAGTTTTATTTCATTTTGTTCTCAGGACTATTTTTCAGTGTTATTATTTTATCACGTTTACCAAGCATCATTTTACCTGCAGATCCCTGTATTATTACAAAGCACAATACAATCTGACGTTATAGTCTTCAAAATTGCACCTTATCTATGTTTTTGAGGCCTTTTTTTAAATATGGCTAAAAAAGCTGTAAAAGAGTTAAAGATTTTTAAATCGCTTTAAAAAACAATTTTTTTTATAAATTTTAAATTATATATAATCTTTCCCAAACAAATTCATTTAGATAAAAATACACAAAATGTAGTTCATGTATAGTTCATTGGGCAGAATTTCCTTGTAGTGGAAGCATGCATCAAATTACTATTGTCGTATGCCATAAGTGTTATCTGTCTAAGCCATATTCATAAGTAAATTTATCCATTTTTTTTTAAAAAATATTTAACTAAATAGAAAATGAATAGACAATACATAAAGTCGAAAGAATATACGCTTATATATTAACTTAGAGGAATGATAGACATATTCTCTTAAAAAAGCTAAATGTTCAAGGATGATTTACAAAAATAAGATTTTCCAAACACATGTAGCTAACTTTCCTATTTTTATTAAAAGTGCTGAAAGCTGGTTGTGTGCTGTTTCTTTATTCTGTAATATAACATTATATCAAAGAAAACTATATCTTTATCTTTAGTTTATAGAAGGATTGCTAAATTTTTACATACTTTTCAATCAGAAGAAACTTGCTCTCAACACTTTTTCATGTTAAGGAATTTGTCGTGAAGAAAACAGAATCAATTTCAGAGCAAAGAAATATCCGCACAACTTTAAACTTTTACTATCTTTAAAGCTCTGTATATGTTTTCCAATTTTAACCTGTCACAAAAGAAATAGCTGATTAATGTGACATCACTTTGGCCGAACTCATCATAGATCTTATGTATACAAATACCGACATGTTCTTGTTTACAGGTATAGTTATATGGGATATACTTTACGTTGGTACGAAAGTGAAAAAAAAAATTGTTAACGAACTGTGATTATTATAAAGAAAAATTCACACATTGTCTGCTAACTTTGCACTTATTTTCCACCTTCTTCATCAGGGAGCAACTTATGAATTTTTATAAATCAATATAAATGTGCCACATACAGTCCGTAGCTGATTCTAAATAGTTAATTGCGTATATGTACATTATTACCTCTTCTGCTATTGACTGATTGATTGTATGTTTTTTTATGTCCCGTTGGAGAATTTTTCACTCATTAAGACATGTCAATATATACCAGGAAAGGGCTTCAAATTTAGACTTATATTCGGCACCAGGGGAATTGAGCAATGAGGAATATTTATCGTGTCAACTCCAGCCGTGAACCGCTCAGGTAGCACGGAACGTTTTCATAACATTTTATTCCCTTTTTATTGATGTTATCTGAAAACGTTTTTAATAAAACGTTTATAAAATGTTTTTAAAACGTTTTATTTTGGTTGTAAACACGTTATTAAAAAACGTTCTTAACAATCATTTTAAAAATGTTTTTATAACATTTTTTTCCTGTTGCAAGGAGGTTTTGGGAAAACATTTAGCATTTAACATTAATTTCTATAATGATAAAATATCGCGCAGCTATAAATTGAATAGCATGATTAAAAAAAACACTTTGTGTAATAATTATTATAAATTTCATGAAATACAAATGTTAGCAGACAACATGAATACAACATTGTCTTAAAATGTTTGCAAAACATTGTAAAAACGTTACAGAAATACCAACTCCAAGCATAAGAAGTTTTTAATTATTTAGTGCAAGACGATACATGTATATAAATATATAAAACTTTTGTTTTCTTATAAATAGCTCCAAAGTTTGAGTTGTGATTGATTTTGAGTTGTGATAAGTAAATTTAGACCCCCAAAAATTCAAAAAAACAAAACAACAACAACAACCCGGAAATGTGTTCATATTTTTCTTTTATACCATTGTAAAAAATATTTATATATAACAAGGAGAGTAAAAAAAATTCCAAAAACTTATTTGTTCAACAAAGTTCCTGAATTAAAAAATTCAATGGAGTCATTTATTTGTGCTATGGGAAATAAGTTTCCCCTTCGATAATGTGTTTATCGAGAGTTAATTGAGTGACACAGCGGGATGCCATGGCCAGTGCTGATGCAGCCGATCCTTGTTGCAAACTATGTCCATGTGATCTATATAGGTCAACAGAATCACAGATTTGAAAAACCCGGCGGCATTCTTGTAAGACAAAGAAAAGGAATAGGGGAATACCTTTCAAATAACAACGTGTGGTATGTTAAATTTTAAATAGCATTCATTGCCTGTATATTTAGCAATCATATAGTGTAGCTTTAAATACATATGCATTTAGAATCTTAGATCTTTCATTCTTATAGACTTAGGTGTATATATGTTTATAAAGTTCATTGGCATTTGAATTAGGCGGGCGATTTATTGTTTGAATAGTTACATGTATTAAAATTGTGTGACGGGTTTCAAAACATAATTAAAACATAGTTGGGAATAGGAATGGGTGTGGGAGGGGGTCTTAACAAGACAGGGTTAAATAATTCTTCAGAGGTGGATTAGTTAGACTTTTCCGAATTTGAGTTATGTATTACAGAATACAATGCCACGTTAAACCTATTTTCTTTTGGAAGGGAAAGGAGAGGAATTAATTAATCAATCTCAGGCTTGATTATATATTTGCTAGCAATCAAATTTTGAAATACACATTCTTCATGATAAAATATAACACTCATTTTAGTGAATGCAAGTGGTTTCAATGCAGGGCGGAGATATGCAGGACAACGATGCAAACAAATTCCATGGGTCAGTTCACTAAGACTGGACAGAGGGTTGCACCCCTTTAAAGAATTATTAAGAGTAAGTTTTATCACCATTAATGCTAAGAAAATGCATTAAGATTCAGTGAACATATCAACTTATAAATCATTGGAAAATGTATACAGCAAAAGGAAACTGATCTAAGTACTAGTAATGCTGTGTTGTTTTCCTTTAACTATTAAACATAGGCGTCGGAGCCGGGGGGTCTAAGCCCCCTCCCCCCAACTTTTTTGCAAAGATAGACGTAATAGAGTTAGTGAAAATTCGGGTTAACCCCTCCCCCCAACGTTTTTGTTGGTTTAGCCCCCCCCCCCACTTTTAAATTGCTTCCGATGCCTTTGTTAAATATGTTTATACATTAACTTATTTACATTTCTTATAATGAATTTCACATTACATTTTAGTAGCTGCTGCTTACAAGCCTTACAAAGCATCAAAGACAATCTCTTACGATTTAATGAGAGGTGGGACGAAGAGGTTTGATCCATACCTTCCTGGAGGAATTATTAAATATGATAAGGTACGTTTGAAGTTGGTTGTCAGAAATATATAGATATAATACCACCTGTAATTTTTTGTTTATTAATACAACTGTATAACAAAGCATACTTTCTTTGTGTTTATCAGATTTTTATATACTAGTATGTTTAGTTAGTTGTCAGATGCCTTATTACATGGATATGTTTAACTTAAAAGAAATGTACGAGTATGAATGGGTAATCATTTAGTCAAAGTTATATATCTTTTCGTATTTCAAACAGTACAAATTTCATTTGAAGGAAGACTGTAATTTTATTGTGCAGGTGTTTAAAAAAAAAACAGTGTTTAGACAACATTAATGAATGGATTTAAATTTATTAAATTATAAGACATATATTGTTTATTATGTTGTAAAATTAATTTTTTAAATGTTTTAAAAACGTTTTAAGAAATGTTCTCAAAACGTTTTTAAAAATGTTTTCCAAACGTTTTTAAAAATGTTTTTAAAACATTTCAGTACAATGTTTTTGCAAAACGTTATAATAACGTTTAAAAAACCACACAAAATAACGTTGTAATAACGTTTCAGAAAATGTTTTCATAACATTTTCATAACGTTTTTATAACGTTGTTGTTCTAACTGGGCGGGGCCTAGGTTTCTAAGGTCTCATTCGAAGGACCAGCAACTTTCACTCCAAAGTGCCGAGCGCTTGGCGAAGGAAGAGTTGTAATTTTTTTTTTGAAAAATCTTCTTAGATTAGTCGCGGCCAGGGATTTAACCAAATACCTTTCGATCACGGAGCAAGCGCCCTACCGACTAAGCTACCGTGATGGTCTACTGTTATTGAAACAATGCAGTTACTGTTAGAAAGTGTAAGTCTACAAACTCTCTATTTATACAGTATCTTTAAAAATATACTCTCTTAAACACCATACCTCTTATTATCTGGAGATAAGTGCTTCGCCGGAAGTTTTTCATAACATATTTATCAGCCTATAGCGGACTGCCTCTAGAGATAAGGACTGCAAGACTAGTGATAACAGAGAGCAGTTTATTATCAAACGAAATAGCACCATTGAATCATTGTATTGTGAGACATTTTTCAAAGCCTACTTTGGATTTTCGTACTAAAACCGCAGATACCTCCTTTTTTAATCTAGCCCATTGACCTTTTTTTGTAGTTAACAAGCGGACCCTATTCCTTGTATACATCCACTGCAAAGTTAGAGTGTGTAAATACGTTATCACATGTGCAAAACTAGCTTCTGGGTATTAAAACCAACTTTATTTTTGTTTCCTGGATATAAATTAGGCCGTATCAAACGACATGGGTGGCATAGTTTGGCTACTTTGTTGTGATTTTGCAGTCTTTTTGACAACAAGTTTAGCATCTGCTTATGGTAAGTTTATTTAACGAATACTCAGTCAGAGGGTATGCATTTCTTTCTTTATCACTGGATGAAACTTTTACTTGAAGTCTACTGAAAGGTGGCTGAATGGCAGAGTTCTACCATTCAATGACCTTTCTACACCTTTCAGTGACCATTCAACTGACTGAATTGTGCAGGTTCAACCTGTGTCTCAACTCTGCAGCAAATTTATGTAGTTAAAGCTAGGGAATTAACACAAGAAAAACGTAAGCATATTATCTGCTTATTATATTTGGGAAGAATTTTTTTTTCTTCAGCAGAGAAAAGTTTACATAGAGAGAGAGTCAATCTTGACTTATGGTTGTTGACATTATTTCTATATACATGAATATGTTTTTGAGTATAGGAGTATCTTTAATGAGCATATGTATTTTTTTCATTCATCGCGCGAGAAAAAAATTAAATAATCTACATTATAATTTAATTTATTAAAACTGAAGATAGTTAATACTTACTTGAATATATCAATTGAGGAAAGGGGGTATAGAAAATAAAAGTGTTTTTTAATGGTTTATTAATAAAAAAAAAACATTTGGTTAAAGCATGTAGCCTTAAATGATGAATAAAACATACATAGTTAGTTTTTGCCATTTTATTTATGTCAAAACGTATTCACTGTATAGTTCTTCCACAGTATGTCGTAATACTCAAATACCTGGAGGACGATTATTTTAGAAATATTTCAAGAAGTAAATTTAATATTTCATAATTCATGACGATATGAACTAATACGCTTCGCACCGGCGTATTTCAGGAAGCAAGTATTTTCGGAAGCGTGCGTTTAAGGAAGCACGTGTTAAATATGTAGACAAGAAGCATTGTAGTTCATGTTTGTCATGAATTTTCAAGAAAAAAAAATAAATATATAAATGAAAATAAGAAGAAAAAAAAAATAAGAAGAAAATGAAAAAGAATAGATAAAAAAATAAAAATAAGTAAATAAATAAAAATGAACAATAAAAGAATAAATTCATATCTTATGATAACATTTTTAACCTCATGACTTGCAACAAACATCGTTATTTAACTATCATTTCTGAAAAAAAAATTGTAATAGTTTTGACTTCAAATACCTGGTTATGACGCCATAGTGGAGATATTCATGATATTCATGCTCATCCGCTGTAGTTCATGAGAAAATGAACCGTTTTTGAATTTACATATAATAATCCTAGGAATAAACAGTTGGAGATGTAAATATTTACGGTTATTCTCAGGAATTGTGTAAAATATATTATGTCTTCAAGTTCTCTTTATTAATCTTAGGCATTTTAGTGATGTCCTTTCATCCTTCCATAACAAATAGCATTGGAACCAATTCCTCTTTGTTTTATTTTTGAAAAAAATCATTTTGCAAGAAGAGTGTTGAATAATAAAGAAATGGAACTAAAATATTCTCATTCCGTTCCTTATTATATAATGCATCTTTACAATGGATACCGGTTCTAAAAATGTTCCCAAACTGAGTTCGACACAAAATTTAATATCTTAAGTGCTGATTACGTGATGTAAATCACGAATCCAGGAATTTTATTTCATTATAGTTATGTTCCACAAACGAAGTTTGGTAACATATTGTTTTTACTCTGTTTCTTATTATTATTATGTCATACTTGACAAAGTCAGGGAGACATATTGCTATTGTGCGACCAATAAAGCGGTCCGCACAATTTTTCAAAGGTGTCTCTGTCAATCTTGATGAAAGTGCACTGTCATAATGATCACTAACCAAAGATGTGCAATCTATATTCAAAATTTTCAAAACGTTCACTGTTGCCATAGGAACTAATAAAAAGTGGTAATTGTTTTTAATTTCATTTTTCTCGGCTGCTTTTGATACAATTCTTTTGAAACTTTAAAGAACTGTTCCTTGCGTCCTGTAAAAAAACTTTGGGCAAAAATATTGGAAAATATATTGTGCAAATTTCATATAAAATTTCTACAAACGTTGCCATTAGAATAGAAAAAAAAACAAGAGGCCCAGGGGCCACATCGCTCACCTGAGCACTATGACTAGGAAAAAGCAGAAATCACTTCAATCTTGAAAGGTTGAAAAGTTTAAATATAAAAGTGGTTGGGGGGGGGGGGGTGTCATGAATTGAACAAATTTGAATCTACATTATCTGAGGATGCTTCCATTTAAATATGACCAATCATGGCTTTGCTGTTCTTGAGTAGAAGATTTTTAAAGATTTAACCTATGTATTCCTATGTAAAACTTTGATCACCCATTGTGGCCCCACCCGACCCCCAGGGGTCATGTTTGAACAAACTTGAATGTACACTATCTAAGAATGCTTCCATATAAATATGACCAATCATGGCTTTGCTATTCTTAACAAATAGTTTTTTTTAAAGATTTTTACTATGTGTTCCAATGTAAAACTTTGATTGCCCATTGTGGCCCCACCCGACCTCCGGGGGTCATGATTCGAACAAATTTGTATGTACACTATCTGAGGATGCTACCATATAAATATGACCAATCATGACTTTGCTATTCTTAACAAATTGTTTTTTTTTTTTTTTTTTTTTAGAATTTTTACGATGTGTTCCTATATAAAACTTTGATTGCCCATTGTGGCCCCACCCGACCCCGGGGGTCATGATTTGAACAAATTTGAATGTACACTATCTGAGGATGCTACCATATAAATATGACCAATCATGGCTTTGCTGTTCTTGAGAAGAAGATTTTTACTATGTGTTCCTATGTAAAACTTTGATCGCCCATTGTGGCCCCACCCGACCCCCGGGGGTCATGAGTTGAACAAACTTGAATCTACACTACCTGAGGATGCTACCATATAAATATGACCAATGATGGCTTTGTTGTTCTTGAGAAGAAGATTTTTAAAGATTTTTAATATATATTCCTATGCAAAACTTTGATCGCCCATTGTGGCCCCACCCGACCCCCGGGGGTCATGATTTGAACAAACTTGAATCTACACTACCTGAGGATGCTTCCAAGTAAATATGACCAATTATGGCTTTGCTGTTCTTGAGAAGAAGATTTTTAAAGATTTTTCCTATATATTCCTATGTAAAACTTTGATCGCCCATTGTGGCCCCACCCTACCCCCGGGGGTCTTGATTTTAACAAACTTGAATCTACACTACCTGAGGATGCTTCCAAGTAGATATGATCAATCATGGCTTTGCTGTTCTTGAGAAGAAGATTTTTGAAGATTTTTCCTATATATTCCTATATAAAACTTTGATCGCCCATTGTGGCCCCACCTGACCCCCGGGGGTCATGATTTGAACAAACTTGAATCTACACTATCTGAGGATGCTACCATATAAATATGACCAATTATGGTTTTGCTGTTCTTGAGAAGATTTTTAAAGATTTTTCCTGTATATTTCCTATGTAAAACTTTGATCGCCCATTGCGGCCCCACCCGACCCCCGGGGGTCATGATTTGAACAAACTTGAATCTACACTACCTGAGGATGCTTCCACATAAGTTTCATGTTTTCAAGCACAGTGGTTCTTGAGAAGAAGATTTTTTAATGATGCCATTAATTTTTCACGAATTCTTAATTATCTCCCCTTGGAAGAAGGCGTGGTCCTTCATTTGAACAAACTTGAATCCCCTTTACCCAGGGATACTTTGTGGCAAGTTTGGTTGAAATTGGCCCAGTGGTTCTTGAGAAGAAGTCGAAAATGTGAAAAGTTTACAGACGGACAGACGGACAGACAGACGGACAGACGGACTACAGACAAAATGTGATCAGAAAAGCTCACTTGAGCCTTCGGCTCAGGTGAGCTAATGATTTAAGAAATGATGCTGTCACGTTACCATTTTATGTTCTCAGACGTTTCATTTTAAAAATTACTTTCCACTCTTAGCACAACATGTTTTTGTTATCTTATATTTTTAGGTGATTTTTATATGACAATGTATATTTACAAATTGAAAAAAAAATTGTACTTGCAGTTTCTTCAAACGAGTGGCCAAAAAACATTTTGTAAACGTTTCTGTTTCATCTTTTTAAAGTTGTGAACTATTCAATTTCGTTGTCTTCCTAATTTCTTTCTTTCGTAATAATCCTAGGGTACGTAAAGGCTAGTCTATGAAGCTTTTCTATATTACCAGTTCCTTGATATGATTAAGAAGAAATTTTATATCTTACCATTTCCAAAACGTAGGACCAACGTTTCCTTAAACACCATAAACTATTCATTTAATTTTCATTTCTATGGCTTACGGGGACGCTACTGGAGTAATACACACAAGTACGTAGTGTAGAGGTAATACTTCTCCGGTGACGGAGAAAATACAGAAAACATTCCTATTTCCATAGTAAGGGGTTTTTCGTAAATAAAAGGGTTGCATATTGCATATATTTTGTGTGGGCGCATTTTTCCTTCCGCTTTTAATAAAAAAAAAAGAAAGACGACTTAATGTAATAATTTAAACCCCCCTTTCATCTCTATCTTTTTTCTTTAATTGTTAAGAAAGCAAGTTTTGTTTAATGTCTTGGATTATAAATAATATAACCTTGACCTTCATATCACAAAAAAACCTTCATCATAAATTTTCAAAATGTTATGGCTTCATACAAAATGATACTTAATTAACATAATTTTTCAAAATACTATGGATTCATACAAAATGATGGTTAATTAACATGTCTCTCTTCAAGAGCCCCCCCCCCCCCCCCTTCTTTGAAACAGCGAGGAAGATACGCAAGATATAAAGTTTGCAATAAATAGGGAGTTCATATGAGTTTCATTAATAAAATTCAATTCCGCTGATTAGATTTGAAATTTTGCCAGCATTCATTCGTCATCTGTTTTGTCTATAGAAGTTATAATTATTAAATTTAAAAGTAGCGATTGTCAGCTGTATTCATTCGCATTTCGGGTTTTCTAGTGAATGTATTATGGATTGCATATTAAAAATTTCATTCAATGATATTGAGAATTATTCAAATTTAATTTTGTTGTTTTTATTCAT